ATCAAGTCAAGTCACCTTTATTTATATAGCGCTTTATACAATACAGATTGTGTCAAAACAGCTTTACAGTGTTAATCCGGAAAAATGTGTGCTGATAATGCAAGAGCACAGTAGAAATCAGTCAGTTTATCAGTTAAAGTCAGTTAATTGTTGATTCAGTGATGTCATCGTCCAGCTCAGTTCAGTTCTCTTCCAATAGTGTCTTTGCAGTCAAGTCGATAATATTGGCAGAAATTAAGTGTCCCCAACTAAGCAAGCCAAAGGTGACAGCGGCAAGGAACCCAAACTCCATCGGTGACAAAAACGGAGAAAAAAACCTTGGGAGAAACCAGGCTCAGTTAGGGGGCCTGTTCTCCTCTGACCAGGCAAAACAACATTGTGTGGTTTAATTACACAATCTGTATTGCATAAAGCACTATATAAATAAAGGTGTGAAAAAAGTGATCAAAGAATGCTAATTTTATAATCACTGGAGCTGGAGCTGTCCTCTTCAAGTTCATCTCACACTATACTATGTCAGAAGCTGACACTATGGGGCTGTTAAACACCTGGTCACTTCATGCATTTTGTCTGATCGGATAGCTATCCAATCGTGAAAAGACCAGGGGTCTCATTTATAAAACTCTCCGTGGATTTCATCCTAAAAGTGTACATACACTCAAAAGCTAGATTTTGTGTACGCACAAAGGTTTTCAGATTTATAAAACCATGCGTACGCCAGAACCTGCGCAAAAATCACTTTATAAATCCCAGTCAGGGGAAGATTGTGCGTATGTGCATCTCCACCCCGACTCCTCCCCGAAATCACCATATATGGAGCTTACAACGCCTAGTTTTACTATGCATAACCTCATCTGCATATCATTTCCATGCATATTCCCATCCACGTGACACCATGTTGAACACCGTCAAAGATAAAAGACATTAAGGAAATATGAGATACGGAGTATACAGTAAATGCTATTTGTGCCATACATTAATTTTTATAGCTAAAAATCATCCAATATCCTTGTTATGTTTTAGAATATATATATCAAGATAAAAACAAAAATAAAAACAAAAACTGTTTAAAATAGTTATCAGATAAATATTTTAGAATAGAGTTGATCTCATTCTTTTACACTGGCCAAATAGTATTTCAATTGTTTTAAACAATTCAAATCAAACTACATGTATGCAGTTTTGCTGATAAGGTGAACATATTTTTAGTGGAAACAGATAGGCCTATATTTATTGCAGTGTAAAATTGTTTGGCTCGGCGCATCACTAACAAAGTATTTTAAAAAGGAAACGTGTAAATCTTACCGTTTTCTTCAAGTTGTAGCCTATCCTTCAAATACAGCGGTACTTTTCATAATGTTGTAGAGATGCCTTCACACGACATTAACACCTCCGTGCAGCTGCGGTTGTACAGTAGCCTATAGATATTATCATTCTGGATAATGGACCGTTCGACCACCGAATCCAGCCGTGTCTGCTATAATATCGAAGTAAGTGCGCATCATTGATCATTGTTCTCACTAAAAAATATTTTCTCATAGCATGAGATCTGCAGTTTTGTTTAAAGGTGAATTATTGTGCACTCCTCTCCTTCCTCTCCTTCATTAAAAGAGGAAAAGTGATCAAGCGCATCCACTACAAATGTGTCTAAATTTTGGTTTATCTGCAGTTTTGTTTAAAGGTGAATTATTGTGCACCTATTGCACTCCTCTCCTTCATTAAAAGAGGAAAAGTGATCAAGCGCATCCACTACAAATGTGTCTAAATTCATATAATTTTGGTTTAACTTCTGCGTAAAGGACTTTATGTAATTTCTGTCCTTATCTCCATTAATGAGAGTGCAATATTTAATGTAAATGTGTATATCGACATGAAACAGAGCTTAAAATCGTTGTTTTTACTTCATCACTCCAGGAACTCCAGGAAAATGAGTTCGTACACATGAGTCAGAGTTTGCGTGCATGTGTGCACATTTTTTTGTTTTTAAACATAAGAAATGGAAAATAAGGGACAATTGTGATTCTTTATCTTATTCTTTAAGAAAACAGTGTTTATTCTTTAAGAAAATAAGGGACAGCATAAGGGACGTTCCAGATATTTGTACTGTACCATAATGTAGGCCTAACTGCCTGCAGTTAAAAAGTTCTCAGAAATAATCACAATTGTTTTGCTTAACCTATTTATGTACAATTATTCTAAAAATAATTTAAAATGTCATTTATTTACTCATGGCTTGAGTAAATTGTACCATTATAGAATTGTGACTTCACACGTGTAAAGGTGAAACTACTGTGAAATTACAAATGGCATGAGATTTGAAAATCTAACAACTGAAGGTCTATGAAACGTCAGTCAATCAAGCATTTTTTTAAAAACAATGGCACTTAAAGTTTTGATCTAAAATATTATTGCAACTATAGCCTTTGAATGAATGAAAGTGCATATTTTTCAAGTAAAGAAAACTTGAGAGAGTGTGGGCCGCTTCTGGTGCTTGGATTTTACTTCAGTAATGAGGTCCAAGTTTAAGAATAGCCTACGCAAGAAGTATTTATTTATTTTTTTGGTAATGCATTTTCCCCTGCTGTGGATTATTGTGATGTTTTTATCAGCTGGGTGATTCTATAATTGCAGGTACATTTGGCATTTCAGAAACTGTTCACTAACAGAAATTCTTTCCAGTATCTAATTGAAAACATATTCAATTTTAATAATTCAATGCTTGCCAAACAAGTTACTTTTTTTTTTTCCTTTTTTACTTTTAATGAAAAACAAAAACAATGTCTTTATGGCATTGTTTGTGAACTCTGTTACGGACAAATTAGGCAATGTGTAGAAATAACTAACAGGAAGAATCCTTCTCATTTCATTAGACAAACGGTCCTCACATGCCAACACTTGACACCGAGACAGAATTTCACGGGTACATACCTTAAATTAAAAAATACCCATGTCTTCACAGAACCATCCACTTATATTATACATTTACATTTAGTCATTTAGCAGACGCTTGCTGGAAGCAATCAAAGTAAGACAGCAGGCTAGCCTACGCATAATATGGAGATTTACTTGTGAATATTAAGATGCATTTCTATAGCCCTGACTGGTTTTAAAACATACTTTTGGCAGCCCCTGGAATGGGTCGTATTGGCATTACATGAGCACCTGAAGACAAGTGCAGAGCAAGAGCACCTAAAAGTCCAGTGATAAAGTTCAGGCTACACTCTTGAACTTAATGCCGTTGAACTGAATTCTCAGATAAACTATTTGCTAAAATAACCCTAACATTAAAAGTGAGCGGTTCTGCAGAGGTGGGACCAAGTCCAATCCCAAGACCTCAAAGAGTTAAAGATAATGAGATAATTAAGTGACTAATTAAGTGATGGTTGTGCATTAGTGATGAACAGCTGCTGTTAACAGGCAGCATCACTGAAGAAAAGAGAAACCCAAGAAATACATCTGACTTCAGCTGCAGCCTTAGATGAATATAAACCTCTATATAATTAATTCTCAATAAGAGATTCTGCAGACATCAAATAAAGTCAGTCTGGTTAGTAATGAGTGAAGCAGGTGATGCTGTTTGTGGAGTTGTTTAATCAGATCTTGAGAGATTTAAAGGGGTCATATAATGCTACATGCACTTTTACAGGTTGTTTGAACTGAAATGTGTGTTGGCAGTGTACACAACCACCCTATAATGATAATGATCCTCCCAGTGTTTTTTTTTTAAATCTGGTTAAATCTTTACCCCTTTCTCAAATCGAGCCGATCTCAGATGCCTGTCAGTGTGACGTCACACAGACAGGCCCCTCCCACAATAGTTTGATTGACAGTAGCGTTTCAGCACAGACTGGACTGGTGTCTTACCTTAGCTCCGCCCTGAGTGACTGTCATCAGTCCGCCATTGTTTCACCGCCGGAGCAGATGTAGACAAGAATGACTCCT